TAAACGCCAAACTCTTGCATCGTGAACACTACCGCATATACCCGTAAAAACATCTATAAATCTTAATTTATAATCACAAATTCCTTGTAATATTATTGAATGAAACCCTTTACGATTAATGTAATTTTCAAGATTTTCTATAGGTGCACTTATTGATATATGAGAGCCATCAATTGCACCAATTACTCCAGGAAAACCATGTAATTGACGAAATTCTCTTTCAAAGAGAGCCATTTGATGAAGTTCAGGCCATTTTATATATCTATGGGCATCTTCAGTTAGTAGTAATGCTACCTCAAATACACAATTCCAAACAGTATCTTTGGATACTCCAAATCGATCCGCAACTGATCTAAAAAATTTTTATGTGTAGGGGTAAGTGTATGTAGATGGTACACAAACATAAATCTGTATAGTCAACAAAATTAAATAATTTTAACACATACTGCTATTGTAATTTTATAATAAAAATTTACAGAAAAAACAGAAAGATAAAATTTTGCGACTATTATAAAATTCTCTAATATGATAATTGATGTATATTAAAGAAGAACTGAAGGAAAAAATCAATCATATTAAAGACAAGACAACTGTTATATAAATCAGATTTCGTCACTAGCATACTCAATGTAATCTGAATTTAACATAAGGCAATCAAAAGTCTAAACTATTTCTTTCCAAAAGCTATATAATTTTTATGAAAGACAAATTTGAAAATATATAAAAGCTTAAAAAAATCTAAAAGACAAATAAAAGGAAATTTAAGGAAATAAATATTTTATATTACTATAAATATATTTAAAATAAAGTATATTATATCTAAATAATATTAACCTATAAACTTCCTGATTACTAAAGAACCATAAAGTAATTGCTATTTGCTTTCCAGGAGACATTTTTCAGCACCTTCATCACGATACAAACGTTGTCCAAGATCCTGTACCAATCTTTCGTATGTACGCTTTTCTACTCGAAAATGTGATTTAAAATTTGTTCAAATAATAATACTATTTTACTATTAATAGGAAATTAATAGCAACCATCTATATAAAAATAAAATAATACAGAAAAACTATTTCTTCCTCACTCTTTCTTTTCTTTTCTTCGAAGTCTTACCTGTTAAAGAATATGTCAAAACAATATCTTCATAATAACGTGAAATTTTATTATGACATTCCCTTTCAGGTGGAAAATAATCATGTTCATCATCTGATGGATTATTAAAAAATACTTCCAAAATACCTTGTAAATCCATTTCTTCCCTGAAAGTATTTAATCACAGTTAAATATCAGTAATATCAATAGTAGAATAATTTAAACTAATAACATTATGTTAATTATATACAAAAATGTTTGTGAATAAATTAAATAATTATAGTTAAATTTTTTAAATTTACAGTAATGCATTTTAAAATTACATGATAATTTTATATGATTGTAACTTTAAGTAAATTTAATCTTAGTATAAATTAAAAAAAGCATATTGC